TTAAAAAACTCCCTCTCCACAAAGAAATCTATCTTATTTTGTGATTTCTAAAAATCAAATTATATTAAATCCAGCCAGTTTACAAGCTTAAATTTTCCAAAGGGCCTAACCTGACCTTTCTTTAATGCACCAGAACTGGCACGACACTCCCCTGTAAAAGCCCCACTGAGCGAGCCTCAGCTGCAAGAAGTCTCTAATAAAAATGTCTCCAGCATTTCACTTTACAACCCCACTGTGAGCTGCTGTGTTAAAAAAACAGCCCTTGGCTCCAGATCAGCTTGATTAGCTCTGCCTGAGTTGGGGTGAGGAGGCCCAGCAAGCAGAAAACAGAAGTTCTAGTTACGTGTTTACCAACGCTCCCATGCAAAGTCTGCTTGCTGAGGCCAAGCCGGGGAAGCTGTCAGACTCAAGCTCAATCCCGATGAGGGCGGCAAAGGTCATGTGTAACCCACTCCTGCTCACTTGGGCTGTCCCCAGAAGAGGAGGATGTTTTTAAGTAGGTCCACTCGCATCTCCAGAAAGAGGGGTGCGATTAGAACTCAGGCAGTTCAAGGTCAGCTCCAGGGGTCCCGAAACCTCCCCACCCTCCCTCCCCCAGCTCTCTGTTGAGATTAGTGGTTTCAGTTAAGTACTGATAGAGGCCTCATCCCCTCTAGGTCCTACCTGCCTATGGCTATGTGCACAGGACATTCTAAGACAAGCAGGACCTCAATATGATTTTCATGCTTTTCCTTAATTTGAGGATTTCAATAAGCAGGCTCCAAAGAGGCTCACGTTTTAGCCTTTTCTGTCAAGAGAAACAGCAACATCTCAACATCACAAACCTAACAGCTTATTTATCTTGATATCATTTATCTCCTGCTCTTCAATTCTATCAGCAACCGCTGAATCCTGTAATTTCTGTAACATCCATTAATTTTCTTTATTGTTCCTTTCTGCTAAGCCCAAAGAAATGAAATTCTCTCATACACAAAGGTGGACCCAGACATTTAACATATCATTTTCAGACACAGTTTAAGACTACCTCGCAGGTGCTAATGCAGGTGTGGTTACCAACAGAAGTCCTGACACCTGCAATTTATGTAAGTGGATAATGGCGACATACACCTGAAAATCACCCTCCACAGCTCTGCCTGACATTCTAACCGCTAACCTAACATTCAAATTTTTCATACACAGTGAAAACCATCTAAATGACAATTCCACAGTCACACTGTAGTTCATTTTTCTATGAGCCCCCCAGCACGATGCCTGGCATTTAATAACTGCTTGCTGATCGACTAAATAGATATGTGCCTTATCTCCCCCTACCAGACCCAGAGCTCCTTAAAGGCAGATGCCACGAGGTCTTATTTATCTTTTTGTATCTCCCATAGAGCTTAGCAAAGTATATCTGCACATAGTAGGTGTTTCATAAAGGTGTGATGAATGAACTTTGTTATTCTGTTGCTATTTTTTTAAATAGTCAACCAAGTATGACATCCTTTAAGCCCTAAATAAATGAGTAACACAAATGATACATAATCTAATGGAGAAATTTAAAGGGTTGGCAAATTCATCTATTCTCCTACAAACAGGGAGATTGTTTGAGTGGATTTTTCAATACCAAATCTTCCCTTCAACAGAGCACAATTCCCTTAGAGACCACTAAGCCCTCAACTAGAGAAAGCCAAGGCCTCAGGAGTGAAACATCTAGGACTCACATAGATCATAAGCTAGTAGAAAATGCTAAGACCCTAGCTTATAAAACCCAATAAAGCAGAAACAGAGGAGAGAACAGGGGAGACCAAAATCAAAGGAAAAGGATTTCTCCAACTACTTAATTTTCGGCACACTTGAATTTCCAAAGGCCCACACAATCAGGCTACTTTACTGCTAGTTACAAATTTGGCATAAAGAGCTAAGCAAACAGGTTTTCTCCAAGGGCACTCATATAGTTTACAATGCCAATTCAACAAAACTGGCTCAATTTCATTAAAATCCCAAGGGACCTACCTTCATTTAAAAAAAAGGACTTCTACAATAAAAATATAAAGCAGCAGGACATTCCATTCGACAGAAGGGTTTTTTTCTTGTTTCAAAAACAAAAACACCATGAGAAAAAATGAAAATGCCATTTATTTTTATTACTTCACCTTTCATTTTAACATTCAAAAAGTAAGCCAATTCTGTGTATAAACTACAAGCCTTTGGTAGGCATTTACTCTGAAAGCCTCACAAAATCCTGGCCACCTGGGGCACTGCACATTATTCAAGAGCTATACTCAAGAACATTTTCCAATTCTTATACATACTCTCTCTAAACCAGACTGGGGGGGGGGGAAGAAGTAAATCCAACTGACCAAAGGGGGAGGATTTCTGGTAGACAATTGGACTACTGTGTTGTAAATTAGCTTGTTCACACCTGCAGAATAATCTCACCAGCATAACCAATCTACCCTGAAACGCAGCCCTGTCCTCTAGAAAGGGGGATGTCTTTTTCTACAAGATGATATCTGTAACTGATAAACTCTTTGGACGAGAGAAGCAGCAGCAGATGTGAAAGCCACATGGCCCTCTCTCTACAAAGCAGGAGAGCAGAAAGCAATGCTCAAAGAAATGATTTCTTAAACAGCAGTTCCCTATCAAGAGAAAGATTTTATCTTCTAATGCTGACTTTTTATAAAGCATCTATTAAAGCCTATCCCAAGATTACAACTAATAGGACCCCAGCTGAAATCCAGCAATCGGACCCATCTAGCTACACTTTTATTTTCAGCCTTAGGGAATAGAGCCAATATGTAAAGTTAGACTCTAACAAATCAAAAGCCCAATGAGAATGAAAGTCAATACGGGTTTCCCTTGATAAATGGAAAAGAGAGGTTTCAACAGAATTTCCATAAAGTAAATTTCTATTGAATGAATCTTCTTTTCTAATCCATCTTCATCATATACTGAAGATGTGTTCTTCATGGGATCTCAGATCTAGAGCTGGAAGGGTCTTCAGAGGCCGCCTATTTTGCTACAAAAAAATCTGTACTGATTCAATACAAATTAAAAAATCCAACCCAATGTTTAAAAAGAAAAGACCTTTTGGAACACAGTAAGCCTTCTCAAATTCATATTTTAAACATCATAACTTCCCATTAAAATGTTAAAAATAAGAGTGTACTAAAATAAAGGGACAGGACAGGTATGGGAACTGGACCTGTGATTTCACTGGGATAGGGAACTCCCAGGTGAGGAAACTCCCTCTACCAATGCAGGTCAGCAGCTTCTCTGCATCTTAGATTCTTTGAGAGTTGCTTAGAACAGTGGTGTCAAACTCAAATAGAAACAAGGCCATTAAACCATACATAAGGATCCCTGCTGGTGGCATATGGACTTAGAACACCACACAGTAACACCGTGGATAGAGTGCCAGGCCTGGAGTCAGGAAGAACAGGGTTCAGTTTCAGCCTCAGATATTTTCTTAGCTGTGTGACCCTGGACAAGTCACTTGACCTTGTTTGCCTCAATCTCCTCATCTGTAAAATGAGCTGGAGAAGGAGCCAAGAAAACCCCAAATGAGGTCACAAGGAGTCAGACATGACCAAACAAAAAATGTTCTATTGTATTTTTAGTTATTTTGCTTAATATTTCACTAAGTGGTGTGTGTGTCTGACTTTAGAGCCACAGAGCTGGAGTGTGTCAGAGGAAAGGGTCTTAACCAGGGTCTTCCTGGCTCCAAGGTCAGTCCTCTATTAATTATGTCACCTCTGGTAAAATAACATCACACAAGAGAGAGAAAACCTGGCCCCTAAGCAGTCCCTGAGCCATCCAGAAAAAAGGAACTGGTTGTTCGTCTGAGAGATCAGAAGCATCCCTTCCCTAGAGCTCTTCAAGCACTTTTGGGGTACTACAGAAGAAATTCATGTCTGCATCTGGGATGATCCCTGAAACTTGCAAAATTGTTTCCAACGTACAATCAGGGCAGAAGCCGTGATCAATAAAGCTCTGAGAATTTCACTAAAGTTGCAAATCCCTCTCAGTATTTTTAATTTCATATTCCTTTGGTTTTTGTACATAACTCTCTATTATTTAAACTATACTCTTTCTAACATCTTTTTCTGAGAATACGTGAACAATTACAGTACCATAGAATGGGAGAAGGAAATAACACATACTATGGAAATGTCTAATCCTTGCTTGGCGATGGGAGATTCCTTCCAGAGTCTGTGGGTAGTTAGTCAACAGACTGCCTGACCGAGATTTTAAAAAAATAATCCTGTGCCAGTGCTATTTTTGCTCCCAACATCATCGTTCATTTAACTATTGGCAGGCATCTCTCCAGTAGAGACTGTTAGCACATCAATAGCACAAGTGACTGAACCTTGCAGAATAGTGATCCCTGTCATGTATTTTCTCCCTGTAACAAAGGGAGCCAAGTATCTGAGATGGCAGCAGCTCATCATGGTGAGACTGACAATATGGTGAGTACGAAGCACAGTAGGCACTTTGTTGTCGTTGTTCAGTCATGTCTGGCTCTTCATGGCTCCATTTGGGGTCTTCTTGGCAGACATGCTGCAGTGGTTTGCCATTTCCTTCTCCAGCTCATTTTACAGATGAGGAACTGAGGCAAATAGGGTGAAGTGACTTGCCCAGGGTCACCCTGCTAGTAAGTGTCTGAGGCCGGATTTGAACACAGGAAGATGAGTCTTCCTGACTCCAGGCCCAGCACTCTATCCATTCTGCCACCTAGCTGCCCCAGTAGGCACTTAATAAGTGTTTATTGAATTAAATTGACAAAGGGGTAGTGCAAAACACCCAAATTCTTCAAAGTGTGGAGGGTGTTATTTCTTCAAATGCATTCACAAAGATTCATTAATTCCATAAATTTTTAATTCTGTTCAGAAAAAATATTATTAAATAAAACCTATTTGTGGTTAAGCAGAACGCTGACATAAAACCGAAATTATTCGGATACCTGTTGCTAATCCCTGTGACTGGAAAAAAAACGACATCAGATAGGTAGGACTTACCTGAGCACACCTTCCCAGTTCAGTCCTGCCCAGATACTGAAATATCTTTAATGCCAGCTCATAAGGTAGCTGGATGTCAAAGAAGGGGATCTCGTTGATTTCATTCTGAAAAGAACAAAATAAAATCACTGAACATAAGCTTCACATTCCACAGTATGAAAACAGCTCATAATTAGCGTCCAGGTAATTACCAGGCATCCATTCCTAGGCAGAAATAATAGAGTTGTGCTGTTTTCTAAGTGAAGAGACAAATTCTTGCCATTCCACAGATCAGAAGCATGCAACTAATTCAGGGCTTAGCAACCTTTTTCAGATCCCTGACCCCTCAGGGAGCCCCCTGGCCAACCCCACCGTGCCCTTCTAGAATCTTAGAGACCAGATTCCACAATGCTTCAAAAAGGCAAAAACAGGTTCCCACATTACAAGCTAGGGAGCACGGCAGGAATCTGTGCAAAGCTTCACCCACTTCAAGGGGGTGCTTCCTGTTTCTACAAAGGCTGGAGCAAGCCAGTGGCAAAGAAAAGAGGCCTCAGAATCCAGGCATCCAGGAGCGAGAAACAGCTCTGGCTTCCAAGACAACTGCTGCTACCCCCAACTTGGAGGGTGAGACCCACACACTGAGAAAGCCTGATCTAATTCACTAAGTGTTTTCATTAGGAAAAAAAAAAGAGCAGGGTTGTGAAGAGGAATAAAAAGTAAATAAATAAAATGCAACTCTTAATTGAGGTAAATACCATCTTCCCTTTGCTGCTAGAAGAGCAGAGTTTCCTAATGCACTCAGGGGATTACACTGGTTAACCTGAGTGGGCCAATGCAAACAAAGCATTTCTTCTACTGTGTCATTTATTAATGCCGAGAAATTAGAGCTTGCTTGTCTTTAGTTAAGCAATTAGAGATGAGGTAACGGGCTTGATTTGAGAGAAAAGGCTGTCATGAAGTGCCTGCATACAAAGAGAAACCGAAGTGTCACAACAAAAAGAAAAATAGATCCTGTGCTCTCTTACACATGCACCGGCCTCGTTTAATTTTATACCGGGCAAAAATCACGCTCCGCATTCCACCAGCAGGTATGTACTTAATAAAACACAATCTTAAGCAGCTATGGCTGACTTCGGTGGTTTATCATCACAACAGACCAATCACTAATTCACCATTCCAAAGAATACATCCTTATTTGCTGAGTGGCTCTAGGCTTCAAACAGAGTCTCAGCTTCTAAAGAAATTATGGCTCTACCAGAAGAACTGTACACGGCAACAGTAAGGTGTAAGGATGGTCAACTGGGAAAGACTTGGCCACTCTGATCAAGACAGTGATCCAGGCAATTCCAAAGGACACGTGATGAAAAATGCCATCCACCTCCAAACAGAGAACGTTCTTACTCTCTTTATTTTTATTTTGTTTGTGTTTTCCTTTGCAATCCTGCTAATATGGAAATATGTTTTGCATTACTTCACATGTATAATCGATATCAAATTGCTTGCCTTCTCAAGGATGATGGAGGAGCAGAAGGGAGGGAGAGAATTGGGAACTTAAAATTTTTTTTAAAAATGATTAAGATTTTTTACATGTTAATTGGGAAATGTTTAACAAAATAATTAAAAATGTATTTTTTTAAAAGTGAACTTTAAAAAAATGTTTTGAACTTCCTCAAACTTAAGTCTGGAGAATCCCTGGAAATGTTCCAGTTCATGTAGGAGTCTGAGCCATGTGGGACCACCAGTGCAAAGACATGGAAACAAAAGAAGGAGAGTCGTATACATGGAAATGAGAGCAGGACAGTTTGGCTGGATCACCAAGTGCAGGAGGGGAAACAGTATCCAGGGAGGCTGGAAAGAATAAGATTCAGCTACAGTAGAGAATGGGAGGCCAGAAGATGTAGCCAGGTAAGAAAGGAGAAAGATTTGATGTAATTTGTGGGGTAGAAAGGATGAGAGATACTGTAGTGACAGAGAAGCACTTGGGTGTACAAGAAGAGAAAAGAATGTACCTGCAAAAGTTCACGTGCAAAAGGAGGGCCTTGACCAAAAATAATAGGAAGCCCTTCATGAAAAGCAGTGTTTCTCCAACTATGTTTTATTAGCCTCCGAGGGAGTCAGAAAACAATTCCAAAGGGGTCCATGTGTGAGAGAGGAAAATGTGTCAGGAAATAAACATAAAGTCTGTGAGTTACTACTAAGGCTGGAACAGGCCTCTGGGGAAAAACACCAAGTGAACAGCAGCGGGTCAGTCCTACTAGAGGACCTGAAGGGAAACCCATTTCTGTTTTTCCTTAAGCACTAGGATTGGCTAGCACATCACCAAGGTTCTCCACTCTAACTCAGGGTTAAGAAAGGATTAAGAGTGTTAAATATTTCTTCTCATTACACAACCAGGGCACGTGCTGAAGAAGTCCACCACCCTCCTCCTAAATAAGCCTGGTCTTGCTCTCCCCTCTCTCAGGAATGTCAGGCCTTGCTGGTGCCTTCTTTCAGAGAATCTACTCCCAAAGTCCTCATCTCTCACCTGGCTGCACTCACTGCTTTGGGATTTCTCTGACCAAGTTCCCCACCAAGCCCCAGGATAACCTCATCATCCTGTAAGATCCCACCAGCGCCCTCTGCCTGTAGGATTGGTGAGGACGGGTGGGGCCATGAACTCCAAACCCTCACTCAAGGAAGGAGCTCGGCTCAGCACATCCCATTCTGGAAAATGGCTCTACTTTGGGCCATCTCTGACTTCGCTGCTAAGGCCCCACTTTGGGTCCATTCTCCTCCTCCTTTTCTTCCCCTCTCCCCACACCTCTGTTTTGTCTACCCCTGTTAGATCATAAGTTCATTGAGGCCAGGGACTGTCTTTCTTTTTTTCATATTTGTATCCCTAGTGCTTAGCATTGTGCCTAAAACATATCAGGCCCTTAATAAATGTTTATTCCAAAGGGGCTTGCTCCCCACAGGTTCTGGGCTTAACATGTTCAAGGCAGAAATCATCTTCTTCCCCCTCACCCTGACCTGTTGCCCTTCTGAACTCCTGTTTGGAAAGCACTGCCATCTGTTTAGATCCTCAGGGGTTCAGCTCCTCACACTCCCTCACCCACGTATCCTATTACTAAATTTTATTGTGGCCAACTTCACATCTCTCCTTTCTGTTTTCTTCTCTCCACATACAGACCACTGCTCCAGTTCAGGCCTTTCTCACCTGTCTAGACAATCATAGAATGGCCTTCTACTTGGTCTAGCAGCCACAAGGCTCTCTTCACTCCAACCCCTCCTCCACAGAGTGGACAAAGTGATTTTCCTACAGCCTAGGTCTGACCATGTCTCCCCCTTCACCTCTCTCTCCTTTGTTCCACAAACTACAGTAGCTCCCTATTACTTTTAAGATAAACACCTCTATTTGCCCCTTTTCCAGCCCCCTCTCCTCATGCTGTGATCTAGCCAGCCAGCCCACCTGCTCCTCCTGAAATGCTCTGGCTCTTCACATCTACTGCCTAGAACTCCTGGCTTCCTTCAACACTCAGCCCAAGCACCGCCTTCTACCAAAGACCCTTCCCAGCCTGCCAGATGCTAATGCTTTTTGCTTGAAGGTTCCCCTGGATTATCCAATGGAATAATGGACATATTTATATATAAAGTGCTTTACAAACCTTAAAGTTTCATATGAATGTTAGATATCATTATTTACTTCATACATATTTTTTATCTATCTATAAATGTCCATGTTGTCATCATTAAAATGCTCCTTGAGGACATGGACTGTTACAGCTTCTTCATTTTACCCTCAATGCTTACACAGTGCCTGCCTGGACACAGTACATAAAATGATGGATTAAACAGGAGGATCCCTCCGGTTGACTTCCTTCTCCCTCTGATCTATGCCATGATCTATGATAACCATAAACCAACAGCAGGACCCAGGAGCTTAGCTGGCAATGGCACAGAGCAGACAATGAAGGAAATTTAGGTTTGTCAGGAAATCTTCCCACCAATGACAGCTGTCGCAAGGTGGGCTGGGCTGCCTCGGGAGGTGATGGCTATTCCTCACCAGAGGTCTGCAAGCAGAGGCTGAATGACCACTTGTTGGATATGCTTTAGTGAGGATTCTTATATGGCTAGGGGTTAGATTGGATGGCTCCTGAAATCTCTCCCAACTCTCAAATTCAAATGCACTGATTACGTGAATAGGCCTCAGATTCCCAGGCCATCCTCTTGGGGATTGGGGAGGCATTCTAGGAAAATCCTAGTAATGGGCAAAAGGAAGAATTCTGAACAAATGGAGATAGATAATATCAGGATCGCTCGATAGCAGAAAAAGGCACAGAAAGGCAGCTGCTTGGTATCAGGGAGGTCTCAGGAGAGCAGTAGGTAGGTTTCTCAGAAAGCAGGAGTGTATACAGGCGATGATGGTTGGGGGGAAGCAAACAAAAAACAGAGACTGAGCTACGGGAATGGGATTCAAGTATAAAACTCCAAACCCTGTGAAGCCTGAGGAGAATAAGGCAGGGCCTCAATTCGGAAAAACTGGGGTACCATGCAGGGAAGCCTCAATCTTGTGGGAAAGGGTGAAGCAATAAGACAGCGACTTTGAAAACTGGGGTAGAAACACTTGATCAGAAGAAATAAGAAAAGAACCTTGGTATTGGAGCTAGGACACAAGGTCAAAATGAGACTAGCAACAGGCTTATCTGACATCAAGCCATTGGGTTATAAATCCATGGGTTCTTATATTCCCCCTGCTGAGGGTATGGACTGGTACCAGAGCCTGGGACAGAGCCTGAGACAGACCAGTAAAGGAACCAGACCAGTCATTGCAACAGGTAACCCTTCCATTGAAGGTTCAGTATCTCCTTTGTCCTCCTCTCTTTCCAAAAAGTAAAATCTTTTCTGATTCTAATAAAGGCAAAACAGATTCCTATACTGGAAGAGGAGATAGGAGGGCTTCTGTCACTAATTTTGAGTAATCCAAAATTCAATTCAAATGAGATAATGCGCATATAGCCCTGTGTGAAACTGAAAGCACTACATAAATGAATATTAATCATAAAAACAATAACTCAAGAATGTGTTCGTGGATTTCACTGCACCATGTTGACCTGTGCACTACTGGAATTCTACTAGGGATGTTTTCA